TAGTAGTAGTAGTAGTAGTAGTAGTAGTAGTAGTAGTAGTAGTAGTAGTAGTAGTAGTAGTAGTAGTAGTAGTAATAAGAAAGGTACCTGCGTTAAATCATTGTAAAATTTAGCTCCTTCTACTAAATTATTTTTTAGTTCTTTAAACGCATCGTAAGCGGAAGCTAATTTACAGAGCATCGCTTCTCGCGCACTACCGCTGCCAGCTTGTTCGTTCGTAAATTCTGCATGACAATTCTAAAACCATCGCAAGAATGTTGTATATATCCCTTTTTTCTCATCTTCAATCTTGTTCTTCAAATAATTGTAATAACGAAATTGTCAGATATACCTGAATTTCAGTAACTAATTTTTCCTGCTGTGCTATACTCTCTCGTACTTGCTTCTGCAAAGGCCCATAACACTTTCCCAAACTTTCGACGGATATATTTGGTTCGTCGATCGCGCCGTCTTTAGCAAGTGCCGAAAGAAATGTCGTTTTCATATCATTGGCAGCGAATTTAAATTCATTTTCGATAGTATCTCGTACAGTTTTTAATGTAGTTACCTAACAAAGGAAAAGAAAATATTCCAAAAGTATTAGAATATAAAAAAATTGATGTGTATAAATATGACTTTTTTCACTTACATCTTCCATTAATTTTCTGAGCTTAATAACAGCATTACTTTCTTGAAGAGCGGTGCCTTGCGGAATAGCTCTAGCAAGTTCATCCTCATCTAAACTTAGGATTTCGATTCCTTCTTTATGGCTTTCATATTTCTCACGTACTACCTATATCACGTCAGTGTAATGAAATATGCGTAAGATACACGAAATCTTTTTTTTTTCTTTGAATTTTTACCTTATCAGCAGTAACTGCATTATTTATAATTTCACGATATTTTTGTAAATTGTTAGTAAATTGTTCTGTCAATCGAGCACTAGGCGTTCGCTTCCAACGTTCCTTGAATTGTTCTCTTAATTGATTGTCAGAGTCACGTTCTTCTTGCAGCATTCTTTCGGACTAAGTATGTAAAAGATAATGTACATATATTTTTAAGCAGCTTTAATAAAAAAAAAAAGTGTATATTTTTACCTCGTCTAGAAGTTCTTTATTACGCTGTAATAAATCCGGCAAGTCTTTCATAGATTCTTCCAAAGTTTTTATTCCGCCCAATTCTCGCACGCTAAGCGCTTTATCCAAAAGTGATTCAGGTATTTCCGTTCCACTTGTATCTTCTATAGCAGCTGGTAAGTTCAAACTCGCTAGAACGCTGTATATATATATATATATATATACGATAAAAATATTTAACAAGAAATTTATAACTCGAGAATAAAAATTGCGTTACACTTTAAATATGTACCTATTTAAAAGTTGAGTCATTTCACGAAGATTCGAAATTTCATAATTAACTAATTCATTACGACGATTTTCATATGCTGATAATGCGTGGCGTATATTAAGAGGCAACAGTTCAGCAAACAAATCTGTAAGCATGTGTCAATACAGTTGATATTACGAGACGATTCTTCATGTAGATTAATATTAAATACCTTTAAAATCGGTACTAAATACTTCAGGTAGCGGAAGTAGTTTAGCAACGATAGCTCTTCCTATAGCTTGCACATTTTTGATATCTGGAATCCTTTCGTGATATATAAAATCATTATCTTTTTTCACTTCTGTCAGATTTCTCTGTGCTTTGTTAGCGTAATCTTGGAACAAATGTGATTTATTTGATCTCTGTTGAGCAGCTTTGAACAGCTCCACAGCATGCTAAAAATATATTTTTATAAATATTTAAAATATAAATTATAAAATAGAAATTCATAAAATGGATAAATTACGCGATATCATCATTACCTCCAGTCTAGCAATTTCTTCTCCAATCAATTTATTATTCTTGCATACAAGCGATTGATAAAATTCAGCCATAGCGCGATAACCAGCTTGTTTACCCGCAATCTGTAATAACATTTACTTATAATAAACATTTGAAAATGATTTGGTTTCATCATCCTAATATACTAACTAGTGGCACCCATTCCTTATCCCAAAATGCACGAAAGATTTCCTTTTGGAATAATTTCAGAGCATCCGCATACAATTCTTCCGCTTGCGCTGCTAGTCTTGCAACGATGCCATCCTTCATAGAATCGTGGATCGCTTTATGCACAAATATTTCTTGTGCTTGCGCAAGCATTAGTGCGCTCAATGCTCCGAGTGTTTCTGGAGTAATATCGGGCGTCGGGTCTTGTTGAATTGCCATCATAACGTTTCCTTTCAGATGATTAAGTATTCCAGCTGATTGCTAGGAAGATTATAGCCCATTAAACACACAGTAAACAATAAATAACATAGATATAAAAAGACAAACCTGAAATAATTTTGCTGACAATTTTAATCCTTCGTCGCTGTCTAAGGATTGCGTAGCTGCCACTGAACTTTGTAAAGCAGCAATGTTGAAGAGCACACATACTTTTTCATACGCCAATGTACTGATTGCTATATAAAACAGTATTACAAGTTGTTATTGATGTATCATAGATTTAAATCGAAACTTATATCGTCTTATCTTATCTACAAGTCTAATATGTACTCTTAATCTAAAGCTCATAACATCCTAGACATCAATGTGTCTGTTTTTTTTAGCTGAACTCTTCTTGCACATTGTTCAGCTTTTCTCTTTTTTTTTCAATAAAAGAAAAAGAAAAAAGTACACAATGAAAGAAAAAAGTATATATAAGAAGTTTAGCTAAATTTTTCAGAACAGGACAGATGTAATTGTTTCAAATGATTTTTAAATGGCTCATCATAAAATCAAGACAGAGAGACATGAGACAATAATTAAATTTTTTTACTACTTACTCAAACTAAGTTTTCCTCCAAAAATTGTACGGTCAAAGGCGTCTTTCCACTTGAATGGTATTTGCAACTCATGTGCAGGAATTTTTCCTTCCAGAGCGCATAATTGATCGTAATAGCTACAAATAAAGTCAAATTCAGTTGGTGATGTTCTTCAATTGTACATGAAAATTTTTTCTTCCGATACAATTCCATCTTAAATCTATTCTATTTCTTTTAATCAGCTCTGTACCAAGATTTAAATTTTATACGATAACAAATCCATTATTCTTCTTCTTCCTCTTACATTAGGCTTCTGGTCTGTATTATTTCTATTTCACATGTTCGTGGTGCTCATACTGATTATTCAATTGCCAAGCATATGAGATCTAAAGTTTTAATGCTTGTTCCAAATGGCGGATTTTTCGAGAGAAAAATGTTTTTAGGAGTATACTCTCGGAAGGTTGCCAACTTTTTCCGAGAGGAAATATAAACATAAATATTTTAGTTCCTATCAAGATCAAACCTAGAATCTCTGACATGATAAACCAGTAGGCTGTCTGCCATGCCATGCTCGCGCGCACTCAACAGTTCATTATCGGCTTCTTAAATCTTATTCATGAAAATTTTAAGATTTTAAATTTTTAAATTTTTTAAAGGCAAATTTCACCTTACATTCCAGATCATCTTAAGGATAAAGTTTTGTGCTACAAATGTTTCAAGGCATTTGATTGACCAATAAAAAAAAGAATTACATAATAGATCAATAAAAAAATGCTTTGAATTATAGCATCAATATTCTTAAGATGATCTTGAACGTTGAGCGACGTTGAATCAGCATCGATTTGATGTTTACCAAATCATTTCGCTCAATCATTTCTAGCTGGGCCAGAAAATCAGTTTTCTCCTGACGTTCTCGTTCTACTGTACACTATTTACAGCCTCTACTGCTACTGTTCATTGTAGACGACACTTTAGATTTCCAGCTACTGTCTCATTGCAGAATCAGTATTATAGGCTTTCTACAATAAGTCATTAAAGAGTTTTTGCAATACTGTTTATCCAGATACAATGAACATTAAAGTCAGGTTATCTTCTTTTTAATAACTAATTAGGAAATAATTAAGGATAATATGACTTTAGCGTTCACTGTATCTGAATTCACGTTATTGCAAAAACTCCCTATTGACTAAACTTTAAGTCTTAAGCTACAAGAAATTGACCAATCATAATTGATTATTCTTCTTACATTCAACTTGGTTAATTTCTTATGACTTAAGATTTAAAACTTAAGTAAATTTATTGTAGAAAGTTTATTAGAACTAGGAAAAGAGGTAAATCAAGAGCTACATTGATGAAACGAATATGTGAAAATCCAATTTAAGATAAACTTTAATTGAAGATCAAACTACAAATATTGCCCTTCGGGAAAAAAGGAAAAAGAGGAAGATGCATGATCTTTTCGTTATCTGTGTACAGTGTGAAGATAAATCAGTCAAGATGGAATGTCGCTTGTCACCGATTCTCACTGACGTGGTGACTGGAGCTACATTCGAAAACATGTCCCTGAATAGCAACTTATCTTTGTTTAACATTGGGTGAATAATAAGGATAAGACAATACATAGGGGCACTCGGTAATGTTTCTGAGCGCAGCCTCAAGTAGTGCAAAAATGGTGAAATCATACAGTTTTATTCGAGAGGTTCTTCTTGAGAATCTTCTGTTGGATTTCCGACATAAAGGGTCATAGTACCAATTTGAGAGATGATATCCGACATAAGACTGTCGTACACTAATTACACACTAATCGAAATAATTGAAAAGGATGATTCATACCTGTAGATAACCTGCAAGGAGCTCTCATATTTCTCAAAGGCGCGCCACAAAGCGTTATTTCGTAACTTGCTGAACTCTGCGATGGCCTCCGTGTAATCTTTGCCTGTACCGCTGTATGTCGATTGGATGACATTAGTGAGCGGTTTCACCACGTCGACGTCCGAAGGCTTTTTTAAAGGAATCGCAATCAGCTCCGCCATGTTTGACATATGAGCTGACATTCGTTTCAACTTCTGACATGATGTAAGAAGACAAAACTGACAAGGGTATATTACCGTGGTGGGAATATTAGTCTAGTTCACATCGTACACTATTTTGATACACGTACTGACTAGTAACTTTCTGTTAAATTATTATAATTTAATTATTTAATTTCAGCAATGTATTTAAAGAATGATATACTAAATTGATACAATATATATCATAATGATTAATTAAATACACATATTATGTTTCAACGTTATCACTGAAATTAAGATTTTCAATAGAAAGTTACTAGTTAGTACCCATATCAAATGTACGACGTAAACTACATAGGTCATTAAGCTGATGATGATAGTCAGAAATTAAAATTGACCAATCATCTTCGAGTATTCCTTTCTTACAGTGGAATGAGAGGAGAATACTCGACTATGGCCTAATTTCCAATGAGGATTCAAACCAGATTAGAATATAAAAATCAGCAAACTATAATCGAGTATTCCCTTGTTATAATTGAACGACAGGGGGCTCGACTATAATTGATTGGTTCTTACATTCTGATCCGGAAACTAGGCCTGTGATTAATCAATTCTTATATTATACATTAAGATATATGATTATGGTCAATATAAACACTCCCTTAGATCTAGGCTCTGGTCAAAGTCTTATTCACAAATGCTTTGAAGCGTTTGGTTGATCAATTAGAAAAAAGAATTTTACAAATTGACCAATCAAAAATTGCTTTAAAGCAATTTGTAGCATCGTTGATCATACCCGTAATCTGATGAAAATAGAAATAGTAAATTTCATAAGGGAATTTCAACCGGTTGAAATTACTAATGCGCTATAAACGCAATTTTGTATCACGCCGACGTAGTTACGTATATATTACGTCATCATATTATAATTTATTTTTTTACGTCAAATAAATTTTTCTAAAGTAATACAAAAGAAGCAATGGTCTTATCCTTAGTTCTTCACTGGATTTAAATGTATAAACCAATCATATTAAAGAATTTTACAACAGTTGCAAAGCTACTTTCTCTGCTAAACGCAGCCAATTTTATATAACTTATGCTCCAAGATCATACCATTTTTACACTGAAAAAAGAAGATTGGCTGTTGCAACAATTTAAATGGTAATATATAATAATATTTTTTATTAGTTGCAGCAGCTAAAACATTTCTAACGACACAGAGTCAATTCTGAGTCGACTATAACTTCTTGACGTTTGAAAAATGGACGTTCATAAGTCTTTAGACGACTTGAAGATATCTCTAAATCATACAATGTCCCACTTTAAAGACGATTGTAAGTCAATACAGACATTCTAGGATGTAGCGTGCATGCGCACCTTATAATGGCGGAAATATTTAAATCGGGAAAATCTATCTCTAGGTTATGTTTGTCTTACGACTTTTCCGTTGGGACTGCACCCATTCAGTGTTTTCATAAGAATGTGTTCAAATTTGCATTACCTCCGTGCAAATATATATATAATATATAATTTTAACAGTATATACTCTTATGGAAACATTACTGCGCAGTCCCAAGGAAAAATATCATTAGAATACTATTATTTATAAAAATCAGTAAATTATTATTCTAAAAAATATATAGATATTTATTATTTGTATTATTTGTATTATTTGTAGCATGTTACATATATATATT